AACTACTGTCAAGTCATCAGACTTCTGAGTGGTAGGGCAAGTCAAGATATTCAGTTTCTATTTTTAACAAAATATTCAGATTTTAACCAGGTATTCGGCTTTTATTTTTAACAAGGAGTCCTGGTGTGTCGCTGTGGGCTAATGTGTGAGAATGCAGTCATTTGAACTTCAAGGTCAGTGGTTCAAGCTCACCAGCTGCTCCTTAGAAACACTATAGAGGGTTGCTATGGGTCGGAATTGACTCAACGGCACTTAACAACAATAATAGTATTTTTAACAAAAATTCACAGAACTGATGTTGAAGTCCACAAGCATGAACAAAATTCACCGTTGACACTGTTCACTAATACTGATGAATTCCAGTCTTCTCTACAAAGTTCCTACTGATGAATTATGTAATGAATGACAGAGGCTTTCAATACCTTATATTTTCACAAGCATTCTAAATGTGTGCAACTAAGCCTTTTTCTGCTCCACATATAGTTTAATGTCTTAGTAGATTCCAGTGTAGGTTGTACTGAATTTGTGTTTGCTCAACTTCTTCGAAATATTCTCCCCTCTAGTTGCTCCAATGCAAGCTTTTCAGAGGCAAGTCTTTCAGTAACTTCAAGCTCTGTATTTACTCCTTGAATAAACAACACCAGTTGAGCAGTATAAGTAATATCTGTTGGCTTATCAAGAGTCAAGGAAAACCACTCAAAATCATTTGCCTTGTTTTTTACTCCTGTAAAAAACTATTGATGCTTCTCCTGATGTGCTCACATCTTTGAGCAACTCCTGTTCTCACCAGAAGGCTAGTTGTGTTAAACTTCTGGATCTATTGAACACTTTAAGTGACCGTTGGTAAATGCTCACTCCTTACTTGGTTAACAAATGAACCCCTCTAATACTTACTATGGTTGTGGTCTCATTTTAATTTTTGTCAAGAAATTCTATGGTGATGAGATGTTGTTGAGTTCTGTAGAGTAAGTTCAAACTCCTAGTAACCCTGTATAGGGTGTCGAAGGCTGTAACTCTTTGCAGGAGCAGAAAGCCTCATTTCTCCCATAGAGAAGCTGGTGGATTTAAACCGTGGGCTTTGTGGTACACAGTCTAGTGCTTATCATCCAGAGCCACCACACTGTGATGAGATGTTGTTGTTAAGTGCCTTTGAGTCGGTTCCGACTCATAGCAACCCTGTATTGGGTTTCTGAGGAGTAGCTGGTAAGTTTGAACTGCCCACCTTGTGGTTCACAGTCCAGTGCTGATCCTACATCGCCACACCAGGAGTCCTTGATGAGATAGTGTTTAATTTTTTCTATTGCTTTGAAATATTGAATGTTGTACTATTGTAATGATTACTTAATCTGGTTACCAAACCCAACCAAACCTATTGTCATAGAGTTGATCCTATAGGACAGGGTGGAACTACCCCATAGGGTTTCCAAGACTGCAAATCTTTATGGAAACAAATTGTCACATCTTTCTCCCTCAGAGTGGATGGTGAGTTTGAACCACCAAGCTTTCATCTGATAAAGTCAGCCTTTATGGTACCTGTTTAACGCAACAAAAAATTTTAGCATAATCAGCACAATGCTTTGCTATCTAATTCAACAAAGAAATAATCCACACCTCACAGTGCCTTGAAAGTATGAATGATATTCAGTCTCTTTTTCCTCTTCATATTTTGAGATGATGGGTATACACTGGTTAAAAACACAAGCCCAAACAGTCTGGTATGATGATGCATAGCCCTGAAACGTCACTGAGTCATAACTGTGTCACTGTGATTTGTAGTTTGCTCAGCAGTTTGCATCGATGAGTATCCACATGTACAGTAATCTTTGGTGCAATGATTCCATTCTGCTGTTGTAGTGGGAAAGCAGTCATATACAAAAGAATGAGTGTGGCTGTATTATGGTAAAGCTATTTATGTTGTTGTTGTTATGTGCCATGGAGTCGGTTCTGACTCACGGCGATCCTATAAAGGGTTTCCGAGGCTGTAAATCTTTACAGGAGCAGAATGCCCTATCTTTCTCCTGCGGAACAGCTGGTAGGTTCGAACTGCTGACCATGAGGTTAGCAGCCCGATTCGTAACCACTACGCTACCAGAGCTCCTTTATAGAAACTGAAATTTAAAATTTATATAATTTTCATGTGCTACAAAAAAAATTATTCTTCTATGGATTTTTCTCCCCCAGTGACTTAAAAATATAAAAACCATTTTTAGCACAGTCTAGATTTGGCCTGTGGGCTGTAGTTTACCAACCTCTGCTTGAAAATAACTATTTCATAATGAAACCAAACCCAAACTAGTTAACTTTGAGTTAACTAATTTTAAAAAAGTTAATTCACTTTTTGAGTTGATGCCAACTCATGGCAATCCCATGTTTGTCATAGGAGAAATATGCTTAATAAGGTTTTCTGGTTTCTCTCTCTCAAAATGCTCCATAAGTTTTCAGTGACTGATTTTCTTAAGGTAGATCACTGTGCTTGTTCCCTGAGGCATGTCTGGGTGGAACCTCCAGTTAAAATGTTAATTGTTCATCACCCAGGGACTCCCCTCAAAAAGGCATTGTGTAATTAGGAAATATTATGACTCATGTTATCAAACTTACCTCTGCCTTCTGGGCTAGAAATGAGGCATCTTTGGAGATTTTCCTCTAAGTTCTATACCAGACAAACTATAAAGGAGGGGAGTTGAGGAAAGAATATCACACAAGGTCCAGAGTATTGGAAAAGCGTATGTTTATCTTGGATGCTGAGCAGGCCTAATGTGTAGGAAAGGTGCACAGATAAATTTTAAGTACTTTTTGAGGGACTGGGAGGACTCAAAGTCATAGAAAAATCTACCTCAGAACCTGAAATTCCATGATTGGTTTAAAGCTATGAGCCTTGTTCCAAAGTCAATTAACCTTCTTTCTTATCTTGTTTGCATATCCAGCCCTCTTTACTTTATAAAGTTCTTTCTTAAACACCCATCTCACCAGAAGAATTACCCTGTAGGTTTAAAAAATTCTTATCCATTTGGGTCTTAAGCCACCTCTGTGTCCTTTCATGACAATCTCTTTGATGGGAGAAAGTGATCTGGGGTAAAACTCCTAAAACTAGGTGTGAAGTGAAAATGAGGTTCATTAAGGGTGCTGGAAACACTTTCCCCTGCACTATTTTTCTCAGGCACCAGGGTATAACTTGGTATTGGTGGTGGTAATGGTTGTGTATCACTGACACATAGTAAACCTGTATAAGGTTTCCGAAGCTGTAAATCTTTACCGAAGCAGAAAGCCTCATCGTTCTCTCACAGAGCCACTGGTAGAGTCGAACTGCTGACCTTGTGGTTAGCAGCCCAGCTCGTAATCTACCAGGGTTCTTTATATAATTTTTGTTGTTAAGTGCCATCGAGTCGGTTCCAACCCTGTCAGCGGTTCAAACCTACTTTTGTTTTTGCAGTCCAGCGTATTAACCCACTTATATAACTTGTCCTTTGTTAATTTCTACTTTTGTTACCTTGATCCTCACACCTAAATTACCAGTAAGTAAACTACCCGCTGTTCCGCGAGAGAAAGATGAGGCTTTCTGCTCCCGTAAAGATTTACAGGCTCGGAAACCCTATGCAGGGTCGCTGTGAGTCGGAACCGACTCCAGGGCAAATAACAACAACATTCGCTCGGGCGCAGAACTGAGTGAAGTAGATGCCGGCGGTGTAGTGCACCATTGTGCACTCCCGGCGACACCTAGAAGCTGGGCCATGAGTGTGTCTTTCAGACTGGAGTCTTTGCCCCCTCTGACCTCCCCACAAACTGATGAAATCGGTGCCACCAATGAGGGCGTGCGTCCCTCTGGAGGTCCCAAGTCTGAGCTCCAGCACCCAGCTTTGCCGCTGGAACTTGGGCAGGAGGAGCTTGTCCCGGCCGCGGGGTGGAGCTGGGAGGAGCCGGGACGGCGGGAGCTGCAGCAGCCGGTGGGCTGGCACGCTTGGAGCGGCCACCGTACCCTGGGGACGCTGGAGACGACCACGGTGGTGGCGTTACTCGACCCGGACTCACAGGCGCGCGCACAGACATGGTGTGTTCCCGGGGAAAGGGGTTCAGGGCCGCTTCTGCGGGCGGAACCGGCAACGAAGCGGGAGTTCCTACCCCGCCGGGAAGAAGGCGAGGACCGTCAGGCCGCACTGTCTCTTTAAGACCATGTTCTTACTAACTTCGACGGTGAGTATAATACTTGGCCGCTCATCTCCGGACAAACCCGGAGGAAGGATGGGCCCCTGACTCAGGAGGCGTGGTCTGAATAGGTCTGATGAGACCACAAGTGTCTGCACGGGATTTGGGGGGGAAATTATGAACGGGGAGGGCTCCCCACTTTGAGCCCAAACCGCTAGGTACCTTGTCAATTTTTACAGGACTTCTGGAGGGGTAGTGAGACTAAGCAAGGCCAGCCTCTGCACAGTCCTTCATGACTCGGTAAGCCCAGTAGTTTGTGAACTAGTGGGATGAAAAGCAAGAAGTTTAGGGTCTTCGGTGGGTGGGGAGGCCGAGGCATATTTACAGAAAACAGTGCTCATGGCTTTTAGTTTTCAGTAGCTGAATGATCTCTTAAAGCTGGTGCTGAAAAGTACAATGGTCACATGAAACTGCTCAATGGTGTTCCCCATCAAGTGGCACCCAGGGCACATCCATACCTGTTAAACCCTAGACATGCCCCTGGTGGGGAGGCTGAGGAACCAACTACTGCTCTGTCCTCTGGATCTTGGACACCTGGTTCTTCTACAGTTTCCTGGGCTGAGAGATAGAGCTATGCCTACCTCTGAGCCTGACCCTATGAGGGAGCAGAGAAGCAAGCAGTGGAGAGATGGCTGGCAGCTTTGTGCCTCCCTGAAGCCCAGTGGAGGTTTTCTCACTGAGAAAGACAGAGGGGGAGAGGCCCAGCCTTTTGATGACACAGAGTAAGCAGAATGAGGATTATGAAGTCACAGAGGAAGTGGGATAGTATAGCTGGAGCCTGGGCTTGGTTGCCAGGAGACGGAAACCCCCAGACAGTTTCAGTGCTTTCTGCCTGTGGAAGGGAGCCTCTGGGATGAGCAGGGCATATCTGGTGCCCATGATGGACTGATGAGTTGGGTGAGGCCACCTTATCCCTCCCCATCCTACACAGAAATGAAAAAAGTCTCCCCATGTCCACAATCTGAAGGCCTAATTACCACCCAAACCATGTGGAAGGAAAGCAGTAGAGAGACTGAGTGGCACGTTTGCTGTCTCCCTTTCTCCCAAACCTCCTCCTGGGCAGGCCAGCTTACACAGTGCAGTCCCAACTCTGTGAGCTCTCTGTTCCGCTTGAGTAGTTGACTTCCAGGATTTGGGGTTACAGGGCTCTGGGGGAATCTATGCACTGGAGAGCAGATGCACCCAGAAGATCACCACTTACCGCTCACCCTCCTACTTCTCCAGATGCAGAGGCCTCCATGGCTGTGATAAGCCTGCTGTTCTTGGCTGTGATGTATGTTGTTCACCACCCCTTGATGGTCAGTGACCGGATGGACCTGGACACACTAGCCAGAAGTCGGCAGCTGGAGAAGCGAATGAGTGAGGAGATGCGCCAACTGGAGATAGAGTTTGAAGAGAGGAAGCGAGCAGCTGAGCAAAAGCAGAAGGCAGAAAACTTCTGGAAAGGAGAAACGTCCAATGACCAGTTAGTGCTGGGGAAGAAAGACATGGGATGGCCATTCCAGGCTGATGGTCAGGAAGGGCCGCTGGGCTGGATGCTGGGAAACCTGTGGAATGTTGGCCTCTTTTGCCTCTTTCTCCTCTTTGAGCTCCTGCGACAGAACATGCAGCATGAACCAGCCTTTGATTCCAGCAGTGATGAGGAAGAGGCGGAAGTCCGTGTTGTGCCCGTCACTTCCTGCAGCTGGCTCATCGACTTCCCCTCACAGGAGGCCCTAGAATCCTTTTATGAACACTATGTCCAAAATACCATCCGTGACCTTCCCAGCACCTGTGAGTTTGTGGAGAGCTTTGTGGATGATCTGATGGAGGCCTGTAGGATGCTCAGCCGCCGGGAAGCTCACTTGCAGCTGGAAGACTGCCTGGGCTTTGGAGCTGCCTTTGAGAAATGGGGAACCCACCAGGAGACCCAGAAATTGGATGTGCTGGTCCCCATAGTGCCCCCTCAGGGCTCGATGTTTGTCCTGGAGATGAGGGATCCAGCCCTGGGCCGCCGCTGTGGCTGTGTGCTGCTGGAGCTGGAGTGCATGTGCAAGTGTGAGAAGCTGCTGGGTGATGTGTTGTGCCTGGTGCACCACAACAAGGACTACTTGGCTTCCCCACGCAAGTGTAACAGCTTCACCAAAGCAGCCCTCTGCACTGGCTCCCACCTGGATGTGTTCAAGACCACACAGTGGTTCCGGGACCTGGTGAGCAATGCCTGGGCCCTTGTGGCCCACAAGTATGACTTTAAGCTCAGCCTTCCACCATCTACCACCTCCTGCAAACTCAGGCTGGACTACCCCTCAGGCCGCTTTCTCTCAATCAACTTGGTCCTGGGGGTGCAAAGAGAGGACACCTTGGTCTACTTGGTGAGTCAGGCCCCTGACCAGGAACAGCTCACCAGTGTGAACTGGCCTGAGTCCTTTGCAGCCTGTGAGCACTTGTTCCTGAAGCTGGTAGGGCGTTTTGCTCCGGAAAATACCTGTCACCTCAAATGCCTCCAGATCATTTTAAGTCTCCAGAACCTTCAGAACTTACCCCACGGGGCATCTTGTCCTATCCTCACCTCATACCACTTCAAAACAGCCCTCATGCATCTGTTGCTACGGCTGCCCCTAACAGACTGGCAGCACAATATGCTCTCTCAGCGACTCCAAGATATTCTCTGGTTCTTGGGCCGTGGCCTCCAACAAAGGTCTCTCCACCATTTCCTCATTGGTAACGCCTTCCTGCCCCTGACCATCCCCATCCCTAAGACGTTTCGGAATGCTGAGCCTGTCAATCTCTTCCAACACCTGGTTCTAAATCCTACAGCACATTCACAGGCAGTGGACGAGTTCCACAACCTTCTGACCCAGGTGAAAACTCTACCGTGTGCTCCATTAGCTGGAGCACATTGATGTAAAGGCTATTAAAAGGGGGAAAACGTGTTTCTGATTCTGCAGTCTGCAAAGGAGTTTATTTTTCAGATGTTATCAGCCATGTAGCCATATAGCAAGACCATCATCTTACCAGTGGGGGGCTATAATAAATGAAGACACTTTATGAGCATGGGGGTATAGTCTGAGGGCCTAATATAGGGTGGTTCTTCTGTAGTTTTCTTCTCCTGACTTACCTCTCATCATGATCCAGAGAGGGCCCAGTGAAAGAGATATGGGCCTTATTGCTAAAGCGTGCCCAGAAGACAGCCTGAGAAGCTGTGTTTCTGTTTCAACACTGATGAAAGAGACCCGAGAATGCCTCCATTTCAACCGATTCCTGTTAGTGAGTGACTTCCAACCACATTCCTTATAAACTGGTTTCCTTGTGAAGTTCTCTCAAAGCTAATGGCACTTCACTGCATCCCAATCAAATACTGTGATGGCAACTTCATGTAGTTTAGATCTATTTTTTGCAGACCTTCACAATTTCAAAATATAGCAAGATGCTTATTTTCCATTTTCATACTTTAGCTCTTTTTTCATATGACAAGATAGCTAGCTATTTTTATGCACCTGAAAAAAGAAAAAATGAATTCCAAAACTATCCAAATAATTTCTTAGTGTTGATTTGCAAATACTAAGTCTATAATGATCTGTCCTGTAACTGAGATGATATATTTACTATAAGTAAATAGCCAACAGCTGACAAATTTTATAACCCAGAAAAGCATTATAAAGCCCTTAACAAGGACAATCTTTTTGGGAGACTGTAATCCAGATACATCCTAATCTACCTTCACCTTTAGGAATCCTGGTGTTGCACTGTAGGATAAACACTGGACTGCTAACCGAAAGGTTGGCAGTTCAAACCCAACAGCTGCTCTTGGAAACCGTATACAGGATTGCTATGAATCAGAACCAACTGGACGTCACACAGCAACAACAGCAGTCTCTAAGATGAATGACTTTGTTTCTGAGGGGTGTCACTTGTTTGTTAAAGGGAAAAAGATTTAGCTACCACTTATGGCTGTGCTTTTTCTCCATCTGATAATACAATGTGCTTTGTCTTTGCTGTTCAGAGAAGACAAAAAGGGATTATTTATTTGAACTATGTAGTTCTGAAAAAATGGTCTCATCATCCTGATTGCCAGGGCAAGACAGGAAAGGACTATGAAGCAGCCCAGCTCTATACAGTAGTGATTCTAGAGATGTGACTGGTGTATTTGTCCCTTTCCAACCTTTGGGCATCCTGAGAAGAGGAGTGTTAAGAAATGCAGTTATAATTGTGGGTGTGGTTGTTTTGGAAATTCTAATGTTGTTGCTACCCAGCACTGACTGGAAGATCTACTGGGAAAAGAACCTGGTCCCTCATTTCACTTGACCTCAGGGGGATCAGATATGGCCTTTTTAGGCTTGAGTCCTAGAGTAACCCTCACCCCACAAGCAAAGATAAATGAAAAATGCCCCAGAAGCAGATGCCAGTCAATACTCAGGGGTCCTCCTATGCACAATTGCTTCTGTGCCTCCATGTCACCTGCTGGGATCCACCAGGTACTGTTTTCAAGTTAAGGTGCAAAGATGGTGTGGTTTTGGTGTCTTAAAATCCATCCATCTGCTTTTTGTTTAGAAAATAATGTGCTGGTGTTTTAGTTTCAAGTCAATAAAAGAAGCTATTTCTGTATAAATAGGAATCTGTGCAATAGCACACACAGCAGATCAGCATTCATACATGCCTGCTCCCAAGAAGTTCAGGTTACTATGAATAAGTAGCCTTCCGCAGTACATCTGGGCATTTCTCAATGTACCTGGAGCCACTCTGCCTTGTGGTTTCCCAATGACATGGCCAGTAGCCAGGAATGAATAAGACTGTAAAGACTATAAAGGTTGTTCATTTTCATGGGGCCTAAACCAAGAAATCTCAGTGCCTACAAACAAATGCATAAGCTTTAAAAGACGTTAAGTCTGCTCAGGTGGTACGATGTTCTAGGACTGTGGTTGTTAGAGTTCAAGACTACAAAGGGAACTGTCAACAAAGTTTGGGTGGGGCAGAAGGTGCAAGAAAGGATTGATTAAAAAAAACCAAACAAACCCAACAAGCAGTAATGGAAAGAACAGAAGTACAGTGTTCTGGGAACATGCTTATAATTAAAGAGGAAACTTCTCCAGATATTTGGAAAGCTAAGCTTTATTCCAAAACAAGGATATATCAGTGTAAGGAAAAGAAAGAAAGGGACGGAGAAGATAGTCTTCAACAGCAGGCAGGTTTATTGAGAGTAACCCTGGGAGGGGGTACTCTTCCATCACCAAAGGAGACCAAGAGCCCATCTGTTGTCTTCCAGATTGGGGTATTTAAAGGCTGTTTGGTCTGGGTACAGTTCTGGCCAGTTTACAATGGGCAGGGATATGGAGATTTGGGCAGGGGTATGGAGATTTTCCTGAAACCTGGAATTTCTAGGAGGAGGGTCTCCAGGTGTAACATAGACCCAAGCTTCCAGGGAGATTGGAAGCTCAAGCAGGACCCCATTCAGTGTCAATTGGGGGTAGTTGCAATGCTGTTCTGTTGATCAATGCCATTCTGTTGATCAGGCGCAAGGTCCTTCAATCAGCAATGATAGTAATGAGAAAACTTAGGGTTCATTGAGCATTGCCAATAGCGATTTTTTTCTTTTAAGTTTTTATTGTGAATTGAGTGATAGTTTACATGGGAGAACATCGGTCAGCAGGGGTGGTTTACATCTGGTAACTCATTGAATCCTGATGCTACAAACCCAGGAAGTAGACCGTCATCTCTAACACATAAGGAAAGAAACATGAAGCACAGAAAGGGAATGCAACTTGCTCAAAGTCACACAGTAAGTGGCAGAATCATGGGAAGAAAGTGCCCTAGTAACTTGTCAGAGAGGGAATAAAAGGGGGGGTGGTTAATGTGCTTCGAAAGGCAAAAAGCACTATATTCATTTTAAGATGAAAGGTGTTAAGCTACTGCTTGGAAATTCTAGAACACAGGAGTTATTGGTTCTTGGCCCAGTCTTTAGGAGGTCAGGAATTTCGTATCACACACAGAAATTATAGGCATTTGCTCAGAGGCCAAAATAAACGTAAAACCACTTCCAACTAAGAGTCCACTGAGCCTCACAATGACTTTCTCAGTGGCTCGCTTACATCATTAACTGCTCTGTGATATAAATCAGCTTTAGGCAATGCTGGAACACAGCAGAAGTGCATTTGTTCACATGTGGTCTGTGACTGCTTTTGTGCTACAATGGCGCAGTCTCAGCAGAGATCGTGTGACCTGTAAGACCTAAAGTCTGGAAGGTCAGGGCACATTTGAAATCAAAAGATTGCTGTCTAGGTAGTGAGGATGTTCCCAGTTTGTTTGGGGGAAGAATTCCCAGTGAGGGGTAAGATGGAGGGCCCCACTGCTACTTTATTTTTGCACAGAGGAATTGAGCCTTGCATACCACTGAGAAATCAATCATTCAATCTGCTGGCATTCTCAGAAGGCCTAACTCAAGAAACAAAGATGGCATTCAAAGCAGAAGGTGAAAAACCAGCCTGCACTAGGCGGGCCTGACTCAAAGATACTGGGGGAGGAGCTGGATCTGCTTCCTACCACAGTGCCCCAAGCAACCAGCTCCCAAATCAAACCAGTTGCTATGAGTCTATTCCAACTCCTGAGAATCCCATATGAGTCAGAGTAGAACTGTGCTCCACAGTGTTTCATTTTATTGTGATGAAAATCAACAAAGCATAATGCCATTGCACCATAGGATTTTCAATGGCTGATTTTTGGAAAATAGATTTTCCGGGCTTTCTTCCAAGGTACACTTTTGGTTAGCAGCCTTAACCATTTGTGCTACCAAGGATTCTAAACATGCTGCCTAGGGGACTTCATTATCACCACAGAACAACCTCATGCCTCTGCATCTAGAGGGTCAATTAGTACCCTTCTACTAGGGTAGTTTTTCAGGGGCTCCTGACTCACAGTCCGTGTCCACAGGGAATGCAGACTATCACAGTATGTTTCCGCTGTCTTCTCTCAAATGCTCTTAGTACATGTGGGCATGTGAGATGGCAGGGATCCTAGTATACATGGAGCCTACATGTTCACAGGGACCTGATTAGATTATATTGCCTTACTCTCATAAAGGCCAGCAAAGGCAGTATCAATCATCTCGTTTATATGTTGTTGTAATGCCATCAAGTCGGTTGTGACTCATAGCGACCTTATGTACAACAGAAGGATACACTACCTGGTTCTGTGCTATCCTCACAATTGTTAAGTTTGGGCCCACTGCTGCTGCCACTGTGCCAATCCATATCATTGGGGTCTTCCTCTTTTTGTTGACCCTCCACTCTCCCAAGCACTATGTCCTTCTCCAGGGACTGGCCCTTCTTGATAATATATCTAAAGTATGAGAGACGAAGTCTGGCCATCCTGGCTTCCAAAGAGCCCTCTGGCTGTGCTTCTTCCAACACAGATTGGTTTCTTCTTTTGGCAGTCCGTGATACTTCTAATATTCTCCTCCAACACCGTAACTCAAATGCATCAATTCTACGGTCTTCCTATTCATTGTCCAACTTTCACATGCATATGAGGCTATTAAAAATACCTTATAGGGAAGAAAATGAGGCCCCAAAAGGCTAAGCTGCCCAAACCAGGATTTAAATTGGTCTTCCAACTGTATTCCATTCATATTTAAGTAGTTGCTTGTTGTTGTTGTTAGGTGCCATCGAGTTGGTACCGACTCATAGCGACCCTATGCACAGCAGAATGAAACACTGCCCGGTCCTGGGCCAACCTCACTACTGTTGCCATGCTTGAGTCCATCGATGCAACTAACAACTAGTTATTAAATAGCTTAAATAACTAGGGCCTGAGAAAACAATGGTGAGTAAAAATACAGCTGCATCCTCTTAGAGTATGGAGGAGACAAGAAACAATCACAACAGGTGGAAAACTGCAATGGTGACAGGTTCTATGAAAGCCTGTAGGAAGGAGGCATGACTATATCAGAG